GGCCCCTGGCTGGGCTGAGGACTGCCAGTCCTTCGGTCGGGCCCATCCAAGTCCGCCGCAGCGCTTGGCTCTGTCCTGCTACTGAGCGCCTTGAACTTGGAACCATGGCGCGCATCGTCGGAGCGTCGGCCCTGGCGCAGCAGCGGCCCAGTGAAGGGAAGCCCTTCCCCAGCGTCGGCCTCGACGTTGGCCGCCAGGTAGGCGTGCATGCCGCCGCTCGGCGCCGCCTTCGCCGCGGGGCGGCTGGGCGCCGCCGCCTCTGCCTCCTCAGCCCCGTCTGGGACGGGCGGCGCCGCGCTTACGGGGCCGCCGCCCGGCAGCAGGGTGCTACCCGCGGGCCTGGCCGCTGCCGGCAGCAGCGCCAGCAGCGGGTGGAGGGGCCGCCGCAGCAGCCTTTTGGTCGGCAGCGCGTTGTCGGGCCGCCTCGTCTGCCGCTCGGCTCTCCACGGCGGCCGCTGGGGGGGGCCCTGCACCAGGCGCAGCGCCTGCTGCTGGGGCGGCGGCAGCAGCAGGGGCGGCCGTCTGTCCTGCTGGCTGCGGCGGGGCGGCCGCGCCCCGCACGGGGGTGCCAGCGGCCACGGCTGCTGCAGGCCCCTCCTCGGTGCGCTTGCGCTTCTTGGCCACCTCCTCCTCGATCTGGCGCTTGATGCGCTGCTGGTGCTCCTGGCAGTTGCGCTCGAACGTCGCCTGCGCCCCCTGCATGATCTGGAGCCCCTCGTCACAGAGGCGCCTGAGGGTGGCCTGCGCCTCCTCCTCCAGCTCCGCGAAGTTCTCGAATGACTCCGCGTCGAAGTTGAAGGTGAGCTGCCTCGCTCCATCGGGCTGGGCGCCCACGACACCAGCCGCTTGGGCTCGCTGGCGGAGGAGGGCGTTCTCCTCCTCTTTGGCCTCTGCGAGGTTGACCGCCGCCTCGTCGCGCCAGCCTCGGCACAGAGCGAGGTGGTCCTCCGCCGCCACGAGCGCGTCCGCCGCCTCGTCGAGCTGGCGCTGGAGGTGGATCCGCTTCGCCGTGGCCGACTGCAGCCTCTGCTCGAGCGGCTTCGGAGCTGGGGCGACCGCGGGCGCGACGCAGCCCCGCGCGTCACGGACTGCCTCCTGCAGCCTGGCCGCGATGGCGGGGTCCCCATAGGCGAGGAGCGCTTCGAGCTCGGTCTCGGGGGGGGCCGACCAGGGGGCCTTCGGGAAGGCGCCTCCGCCACGGCCACCCGCGCCCCCGCCGCCGCCACGGGAGGCTGCACCACCACCGCCGCCACGGGAGGCTCCTCCACGGCCCTTGCCGCCCTTGCCGCCCTTGGCGCCATTCTTCGGTGGGCCTCCGCTGCCGCCTCCTCGCAGTGCGGGTTGGGAGCCGCCGCCGCCGTCGTCCGCCCAGACCCCGACGCGGGGCGAAGGCTTCGAGGGCGCCAGCTCCAGCCCGATCCCGCACAGCCAGCACTTCGCATTCCTGCGGAAGTTCCAGCGGAAACGGCAGCCCGTGCACACGACGAAGCCAGGCTCGGCCTTCGGCCCCATCGCCGGAACGGGCGGGCGCGCTGCTCAGCCGCGGGCGCGCAGCAGGCAGGTGCCGACGGGGGCGGACCCGCCGACACAGAAGAAGCCGCGACCCGCAGGTCCAGGGTGCTGCAGTGGCAGCTCACACGTGTTGGAAAGGAAGGTAGCCTCAAAGCAGAACCTCCCTCGCGCTTAGTCGCCCCGAAAGACTCGCGGTCTTCGGGACGGTTCATTGCCTTGAGCCAAAATGGCTACGGACTGGGTGGGGGCATTGGATTAGGAACCCTTAGATAAGGAATCCAGGGCCTAGAGGCCGGTGGCACTCCAATCGAGGCGTGGCCATGGATATCACCGCCGTCCTCATCAGATAAGGAATCCTCCAGGGTCTGCAGCATCCTGGGCGCCTTACTTAACCAACGCCCCCACATTCCGTCCAGAAACCCATAACGTGACGAATGTCCCGATGGCCCGCTCGGATTGCCAAAATGAAATGCGGACCCCAGAGGAAGGGGGCTCCCGCCTGAGACTTCCTCGAAATTCACTCACAAACGGAGCTCACGCTCGAGACTTCCTCCATACTCAGGCCAGCAGATCCCAAAAGCGACGACAATTACATGGATCCGACCCATGGCCAGAAAAGCCTAAAAGTGACAACGGTTACAAGATTCCGATGACACGCTCGGATTACCAACATGAAGTGCGGATCCCATTAGGGGGGGGGGGGCTCACGCCTGAGACTTCCTCGCAATTCACGTACAGACGAAGCTCCCGCTCAAGATGTCCTCCAGATCCTATCCAGAAAAGCCCTAAAGTGACGACTTTTACAGGGTTCGGATTCCCTCGCTGTTCACTCACAGACGAGGCCCCTTGTGGTCGATGATCATGATGGGGTGGTGATAGCGATGACGATGGTGGTGTGCGCGGGTGATGATGACGACGATGATGCTGATGCCCGATGATCAGAATGGGGTCATGGCATGATGGTGGGTGACTGTTGTGAGAACGTGAATGAGTGTAAGAGAGAGAGGGAGTGGGTGAGGATAAATGAGGATGTTGTGGGCTGGCAAGTGATGATGCCTGTGATGACTGTGATGAGGAGAATGACGATGATGATGATGACGATGATGATGCTGTGTGCGTGTGAGGAGGAAAGGGGGTGAGGAGGAGGACGGCGCGGGGTCCCCAGAAAACACGAACCTCACTTACGATGTGGGGAACAAATTATTTGCGCTTTCAGGGCCATGGATGCATCTCTTCTGGGCGGCGTTGTCGTAGGATCAACGGTTGACGATCGAAGATCGATGGGAGCAGGGTCGAGGAAAGCAAAGGAAGGAGAGAGTGAGGCCGACGAAAATCGACGATCGAAGGGACGGGGTGGAAGGAGGACGAGGAAGGGAGAAGAAGAAGGAAGAAAAGAAAAGGATAATAGGATCAACACATCAACCGACATCATGTGGTCAAGTATGGGCTCGGCATCCACTGTCTCTAGGGTGCCGGCGGCGTGGCGTAAGGCAGTGAATCATTATCAGCCACTCCTCGTCCTACCTCCTCCTGCTCCCTCTGTCCTCATGCCTCGTCCCCACTCTCCCCCTCCTCCGCCCCTTTCCCACCTCCCCGTCTTGCATAACCTCTCCTCTCACCTTCTCGTTTGTGTTCCTCCTCCTTCTCCATTCCAATTCCTTATTAATAACTCCTCCCTGTCGCACCCCGAAGCCAGCTGGAAGGGCGGGACTGGCGTTTCGCCTGGGACGTCCTCACCACTTCTGATCCTGAAGCTTAAGTATTGGCAATGCTTCCATAGATGGAGGCTGGGTCGCTTCCAAAATGTGGCTCTCGCCGAAGCGCAGGGAACAGTCGCCTGACAGTTTGCATGCACTTCGAGGATTGAGGGCGGGCCACTTTCAAAATGTGGCTCTCTCCTAAGCACCGCGCATAATTGAGGGCGGTTCCTTTTCAAAATCTGGCTCTCGCCATCGCGCCGCGCCTTCTCGTCTTAAACATTTGCACAACATTCGCGAATTCCCACAATTAATGCACCAGAAACGGTTTCGTGACACTGCTCAGGATTGCCAGGGCGCAACTGTTACGCTCAATCGCTGTGTTTATACCCCAGAAACGGCATTCTGGCATGACTTCGGATCGTCAAGGCGCAGCAGTCCGTTTGATTCTCGGCGTTGGAATGATCTCTTGGTACGCTTCAGGATATTCAAACGGTTGCCTCGCCTCCCAACGGGGCACTTTCCTCAGTGGAAATGGGTCCTTGTAGGGGTCTATGAAGCGGGAGCTTGGAGAAAGGGTGTATTCCAACATCGTTGATGAGTTTTGGGTTTGCACTGGTCCTTCTCCTCCTCCTCGTCCTCCTCCTCCTCGTCCTCCTCGTCGTGCCTCCTGCTTCCTCTCGGGCGCACGCTCACACGGATTACGGATCCGTGGATCTGCAGCGTGGGCGCCAGGATCCTCGGATCGGGGAGGGCACCCCCGAAATCTGAGGCCAAGGCCGCCTGATCTGGCGACGGAGAGCGCGGATTCTCTACGCAAAGGGGACCCGTCGCCAATCCAAGCGCCTTCATTCATGTCTGCGCTTCTCTGATCCTCTCTGCCCTCCACTCCTCCTTACTGCCTGCAACCCTCATCCTCCCCCCATCCCCCCCCTATTCCCCCCTATGTCTGCCGTGGTATTTCGATCAGCTCGGCTTTCTGCGCGTGCGCGTGCTCATCCATGTCTCGTTGCTCCGCGAGCTCGAGGCACGTGCGTTGTAGTACACAATGACATTGTCATGGCGTCCACTCCACTCCAACTCTCATCCCCCGCCCCTCCCATCGGCTACACGTAACTAAGAATGACCCCACGCAAGAACGACCTTTGGATGGCGGCTTGTTGCCAGCCGCTGAGTGCGGTGCGAGAGCAGCGGCCTGCATGCTTTGGCTTGACTCCGCACCGCCCCCAAAAAAAGCAGCGCAGCAAAGGTCAATCTGGCGAAGGGTCACTTCCACGTGCGGCCGACTCCTGCAGAGGGCACCATGACTCGGCGCTGAAGGCTGTTCAACCCTACCGATTAGCTACTTCGCCTTGGGTCGTTAGGGGTAGTTGCATGGTGACCCCGGCATCACCAAAAAAGTATCCAACTGTTCGAAAAAAACACTACATGTAATATAATTTCTGGAGCCGGTCTGTGGCTTGAAGTTTCAGGGTGACCCCGCGATAGCCGACGAATAATGAATGCATCAAATTATGATTATTGGGCGTGCGGGGTCTTGCTTCTTCACCAAATATTATTTGCTGGGCGGGCTGCAAGGAAAACTTCCACAAATTTGGGAGTATAGCCGCAACTTAAAACTCATTATTGTTCCGGCTGCCTGCGGGGGGAAGCCTGCAGGTATGGAGGGTTGGGATTCTACGTGAACGAGATTCCCCAGAACATATTTGCGAAACAAGCTCGAACAAACCCCGGTCAAATTGCACGAGCGCCGAGTCATAGGGCACCGCTGTGGATCACAACGCGCGCCCACTACCGCGCCGGCGCACCGCTCCGGAGAGAGCGCTCCAACAAGAAGGAGCGGGGGGCGCGGCCACCTGCCGCGGCGTGCTCGGCGCCGCGGAGGGGGCGGACCTCGGGAGGGCGTCGGCTACTCGCTCTGGGGGCCTTCTGGGAGCCACTCGCGTTCCTCGTCCCCATGGTTGAGGTGCGGCTGGGTGTGCGCGAATGCTATGTGCCCCTCGCGGTCAGCGGGGCCATCTGAGGGCTTTGGGGACCTTCAAGGAGCCACTCGTTCGCATGGCGCGGGCAATCCCTGCAAGGGCTACGACGAGGGCGCGTTGCTCGCCCCGCCTGCGCCAGCGCGAGCTGGCGCGCGAGCTGGGCTCGGAGGACCGCCGAGGCAGCTCCTCCTCCTCCTCCTCCTCCTCCTCCTCCTCCTCCTCCTCCTCCTCCCTGCGATTGAGGTGCAGCTGGGTGTGCGCGAATGCCTTGCACCCCTCGCGGCCCGCGGGGCCATCTCAGGGCTGACGGCGGACCGCCGTGGCCCGAGGGATCAGATGAGGAGCCTCTCTTCTCTTCTTCTCCTCCTCCTCCTCCTCCTCCTCCTCCTTATCCTCCTCCTCCTCCTCCTCTTCCTCTTCCTCTTCCTCCTCCTCTTCTCCTCCTCTTCCTCCTTCTCCGCCGCGTCTATGCAAAACCCGTTGTGCCCTGACCGGGCTCGAAGATGCCACAACCAACAACGCGCCACTCGCTCCACTCATGCGTCGATGCTGCGTCGAACGTCTGTCGACTTGAACGGCACGTGAATCGAGCTGGCGCCGACGTGAAGCCGAGCAAATCCGCTGGGTGGGCTCCATGACGCTCCAACAAGAGGGCTCGCAACGAGCGGGCACGTCCCCTTCCACCTCATCCAGGGAAGGGGGGGGGTGACAGCCGGGATGCAACCCAGACTTCCGCGGGAAGTGGAGTGGGATTTTGCGCAAGTGCAGCGTCCACTGTTTGCGTCGGCGGCCAGGCGGGGGTTGTCTGCGCTGGCGGAAGCAGCTAACTAAACGGGGGCACCGTTGTAGCCAATCGGCCAGCATGCAAGAGCGGGGAAACGGGACAGAGCGGGCGGCCGAAGTACAGCGTACACCGGAATCGTGGTCTCGAATGCAGGAGGGCGGTGCCTGACAAGGATCGGGGGACGTATAAGCCTCGGGTGCGGGGGGCTCGGGCTGGCCAGGCCAGGCCGTCGGAAAAATGACGAGGCCCGGTCTCGCTGCAGACATCCCACGAAAACTGGGCCGTCAGAACCCAGGACGGGCCCGCCGAGAAGCGCCGGCAAACCCGAGCTCCAGCCAACCCGAGCCTGACGTTTCCCCAGCAGGAGGCACTCAGAGCGGCGCTTCAGGGAAACAGGACACGGCCCACCAGGCGGCGGATCGGGCACTCTCAACGTTCTCCAAGAAGCGTTTCAGCAGAGCTGGTTGCTTCTCCAGAAGTGGACTTCTGCAGCTCCCGCATATGCCTTAGAAACAACCGAGGTTGTGTTCACTGCTGGAAGCTGCTCTGTCTTCTGCAGCGTCGAGCTCGGCTCTGCTGGAACGCCGTTGCACGGTGGCGCCTGCTCCCGCTCGCGAAGAAGAACATGACGGGACGAAGTTGGTGAATTGAACATGGAACCGTTGCGAACAATCCGCTGATCGTGAAACAACGACAGAGGGTGCTGTTGCTGTTGTTGTTCTTGCTGTTGAATTCTCATTTCGAAATCACGTTTGTTGATTCCCCCTCTGGGGCAAATGGTGTTTTTCCAACTGGAGTGACCTTCCAGGGTCTCGCACCCAGTCTTTTTATCATGGAAAGTCTTGGGTCTCAGAATTCTATTTTCGGCCCCCGGTTTACAACAACAGCGCTTCCGCCTGATACTCCTTCAATGTATTCCAAAATCCCGCCCTCGCGCAGGAATTCCCTACAATTACTAAAGAAATCGCGCTCTCGCGTGGGACTTCCTCGCAATGTATTCAAATGCCGCGCCCTCGACACCCAAGATTCACGCTCTCGCTATGGACTTCCAAACGATGTGTTTGGAAATCGTGCTGTCGCTCGAAATTTGCTCGCGATTCATCCAGGACGCACGCCTCAGCAACCCGCCTGCTCGCCCTGGCCACCTGGACCCGCCTTCTCGACCAGCCCGTTAGGGTCTACCCGCCCGATCTGCCTGTCTGGTTCTGCCACGTGTTTTCTGTTCCTAGCTCCCCTCCTGCTACTCTCTATCTCGTGTTCCATCCTCCTCCCTCCCCTTCCCTTTCTTCCATCCGTCCCCTGTTCTCCTGCATTAGCGCTGCACGAAATGCACGTTGCAAGTAAAAGGATTTATAACCCCCAAAGGGGTACGATCGAAGACGAGGAGAGTGGGTATCCATGGCTTGGGATATACGTGTTGAGTGGCCCGCGAGTGCATCTGCGCCAGCAATATTGAAATGATTGTTGTTGTTGCTGTTGAACTCTCACTACTCAAGAAAGAATGGCTGACCCCCCCTTCCAGGCGCATAGGGATGTTTAACTTAAGTGTCCTTCCCTGGGCTCGCACCCGGTCTTTTATAAGACAAGTTCTTGGGTCTCAGACCCCGGTTTACAACGACAGCGGCTCCCGCCTAATACTTCCTCACAGTGTCAGAATGAGGGGGCCGAACGCTCATTCCTTGTACCCGGGTGCGTGGCTGAAGTGGGGATACGCGGGGAAAATTCTGCGTGTTGTTGCTGTCGTCGTCCCCCCCGACCCGCCCGACACCCGCGATCCACCCCGAGACCCACCCCACGACCCACCACGCGACCCACCGCGCCACCTACTCTGCGACCCACCCGCGACCCACCCCGTGACCCACCCCGTAACCCGCCCGTGACCCACCCGCGACCCACCCCGCGACCCACCCTGCGACCCACCCGCGACCCACCCCGCGACCCATCCGCGACCCACCCGCGAACCACCCCTCGATCCACCCACATTGCTTTAACGAAGAAATTGGCGCCTGCGGCGGGCTCACTGCATAATTTGTCAAAGTTAGGCGCCTGCGGCGGGCTTCTTCAGAGCCTCGCAGACTGACGACGTCCTCGCCACCCCCTCACTCTTATCCGCAACTGCGGGGTGCTACGAAGTCCCAAACCGCGCTCACAATGTATGTAAGAATCACGCTCTCGCATGGGACCTCCTCGAAACTATTCAGACGCCGCGCCATCGACACTCAGGAATCACGCTCTCACTTTGGCCACTCTCGCGATTTACTTGGGAATCGCGTTTATCGCTCACGACGCCCCCTCGCGATTCACGCAGGACGCACGCTTCAGCAACCCGCCCCCTCGACCTGGCTGCCTGGGCCCGCCTTCCCGACCCGCCCGTTAGGTCTATCTATCCGCCCGATCTGCCCGTCTGGCTCTGTCACGTGCTTTCTGCTCTTAGCCCCTCTTCTGTTACTGGCTCTCGTGCATTATCCTCCTCTTTGCCCCTTGTCCCTTCCATCCGTCCTCTGTTCCCCCGCTTCAGGGACTGCAGAAACAAACACGTTGCAAACAAGGAATAATACGCCCAAGAGGGTACGATCGAAAACGAAGAAAGCGGGTATCCAGGGTTTGGGATATACGTGTTGGATGGCACGCGGGCAGATAAGAGCGACAACATCGTAACATGCGTGCTGTTTTTGTTGCCGCTGCTGCTGCTGAACATCATGGCTTGAATGTTGTTGACCCCCTCTGCCTGGTAACCATTGCATTTTGAAATGAATGTGCTTATCCCGGGAATCGCACCCTCTTTTTGTGCACGGGAAAGCTGGGTGTCACCGAACTAGCTTGTTGGACCCCGAACTACAACAACAACGGCACCCGCCTGAGACTTCCTCATTGTATTCCCAAATTGCGCCATCCACGCTCTCATGTAGGATTTCCTCGCGATGTATTCACACGCCGTGCCCTCGACACTCAGGAATCACGCTCTCGCTTTGGCCACTCCCGCGAGTTAGCTGGGAGTCGCGCTATCGCTCAACACTTCCTCGCGATCCATGAAGCACCCACGTTTCAGCAACCCGCCCTCTCGACCTGGCTTTTTGGCCCGCCTTCCCGACCCGCCCGTTAGGTCTATCCGCCCGATCCGCTCGTGCGGTTTTGCCACGTGTTTTCTGCTCCTAGCCCGCCTCTTGCTACTTTCTCTCGTGCTGCATCCTTCTCCTTCCCCCTTGCCTGCGTCCTCCCTTCCCCTGTTTCAGTGGCTGCGCTACATGCGCGTGGCAGGCACGGAAGATATACCACATGGGGGTGCGATCGAAGACGAAGCGGGCGGGTACCGATGGTTTGGGGCATACGTCTTGAGTGGCACGCGAGCAGACAGGAGCGACTAATCTTGAAATACTCGTTGTTGTTGATGTTGTTGTTGCTGTTGAATATTAACCGCTTGACAATCATCAGCGCTGGATCCCCTGAATTCGCTTTGGCGCTCTCGCCTCGGCGCCAGCTGCATGTCCTCTGAAATCGAGGCTCACGCTCAGGCGTTTCGGGGGTGCGCCAAAACTGGCCCCCGAACAACAGCAACAACAACGCTCCCGGTCGTTACCTCCTCTTCTTCTACTCGGGACCGGGGCTCTTGCTCACCGCCGACAGCCGGCTTTTCAACAAAACCCGCGCTCCCGCTCCATACTCCCTTGTTTTTTTACTCGGGGCTTGTGCCCCCGCCTCGGCGCCGCAAACTGACCCCCCAGCATATAACGACGCTACCGCCCGATACTTCCGCCGCCTTTACTCAAGACTCCCAGAAGCACTGAGGCTTCCTTCGTCCATGCTGAACTCTAGCTATTATAAGGTTACAGTACTATAGTTGGGCACCCTACTCCGCACTGGCGCTCTCGCCTCGGCGCCGGCTGCATTTCCTTTGAAAGTCATGCTCGCGCTGGAGCGTTTGGGGTGTGTGTGTGTGTGTGCCGAAACCGCCCCCAAAAAAACAACAACAACAACAACAACAACAACAACAACAACAACAACAACAACAACAACAACAACAGCAACAACAACAACAACACCAACAACAACAACAACAACAACAACAACAACAACACCAACAACAACAACAACACCAACAACAACAACAACACCAACATCAACAACAACAACAACAACCACAACAACCACAACAACCACAACAACCACAACAACCACAACAACAACAACAACAACAACGCTCCCGCTCGATCGATACTTCCTCCTCTTCTGCTCGGAACAGGGGCTCTTGCTCGCCGCCGAAAGCCGGCGTTCCAACAAAACCCGCGCTCCCGCTCCATACTTCTTGTTTTTTACGCAGGACCGGCGCTCCCGCCTCGGCGCCGCAAACGGCACACCCTGCAAACAACGACGCTCCCGCTCGATACTTCCTCCGCATATTTTCCAGACTCCCAGAAGCCTG